CCCTGCTGGCAGGGAGCAGTCACCGCACCCCCAACTTCGCACGTCCGGGCGGAGCGTCCCAAGCTGGGAAGCGCGGAGTCGCTTTGGTCCGGCTGGTACCAGCTCCCGTCTTAAGGAGATGAAAAACATTACCGATCCCAGCAGGAGCTGAACGCAGGCCCTCGCGTTCCAAGTCCTCGTCTCAGGGTGCGTCCCGCGGATCCGCACGGCGACTAACACAGAAGGAACGACGGCCGCTGCGCCCTCCGCAGTTGTACCCGTTCGTGCAAGATTGGGAATGTCTTTTTTAAAATTTTTTCTACTCCCCAAGCCTCCAGCTTAGGTTGGTCTCTATTTATTTAGAATTCGGTACCAAAAACAGAACAAAGAGCCCTCACGTGAAACGATTCACAGGCAGGCAGCCCTGCCGTACCCCGGGCCCTGATCTGTGGCTTTGGAAACGCTACGGTGCATCCTTATCCTTGCCTGAGTCCTGCCAGGGAAACGGAGCTGCTCACAGAAGAATGAGCTGCCTGGAGGGGAGGTGGAACGGACAACGTACTCTTTTGCCATACTTTATTTGGTTCTACAAATACAGTACAAAAATAGAGCTCTTTCTGAACATAATTAAATGTAAGCCTTTTTCTTGCATTTCAACCTTTCCCCTGTGACCACGTCCACTAACGGCCGGACTGTATTCCCCTCTAGTTTGCAAGAGACAGTGTCAGTGTAATTTAATTATAAAAATACTGCAAAAGACAGATCAGCATTGCTACTACGAAACTGCAGGAAACGCTCGTGCAGATTTAACATTCCTCTCTGAACAGGTTTTAAATGCTCGGGTGCTGGATACCATTTACAAGAGCTCTCTGCTTTCAGTGCATTTTGTTTCTCACCGTGACGCTCAGCCAGTTTTACACGTTTTGCTCCAGAACGTATCCACGTGGTCTTGATAAAACAAAAGTGGAACAAATATGCATATATTCAAATTACTTAAGAAGACATAATTAACCTGAAGTTTGAAATGAGGACAGGGCTTCTCCCTTCTAATGCACAAGATTTCTGGAGGTAAAAGACGACTGTAGGCTGGAAAGCCCAAGCTGAGTTTTCACAGAAGGCAGGTATTCTTTAGACAGGGAATGTTCAGGCTCCTCCAGCTCTCGCTGCAGGGTGCTGTACACCTCAGAGGCAGTATTTCCCCTCCTGTGGCGATGAGACAGCGAGACCAGAACTCTCCCTCCCCCCTGGTTTGGGCAAGGTATGAATCAAAGAGAGCGGCAGCAGTCCTTCGGCCAGCTCGCCACAGGCCGTTACGTAGCAGCTGCGTGCTTTAGTTCTGAGCAAGCAGGAAAAAACGGAAAGGAGAAAAATGGGAAAAGACAGTGCTGATGAAAGGAATGCCTCGGAAAATTGAATTATTAGTGCTGAGTGATGCAAAAGAGAGCAAAAAACCCCAACAGCACAAAGTGATCTTCTCAGAAAGTACAGCTGCACAGCTGCTTCTCCTAAGTCCAAGGCCAAAAGGCTGAACCTAATTACCTCTGACAGCAAAAGAAACTCCTGATACTGAATGAGGCTGGTCCCCAATCGCTCCGAAACCCAAGTGCGCAGGAAGACTCGGTCCTTAACTGGCAAAGGATACTTTTGTTGTGACTTGTTCTTGCATCTGGAAACGGCACAGGAACGCTCGTTCTGATCACAGTTTCTCAAAGGGGAACAACTGTGCTGCTTCTCCTTTCTTTTCTCGCTTGCTCTTTCTGGTTGTCTTCTCTTCTTCTTTCTTCTCCAACTGGCGATTTTGGGGCCAAGAAATGGCCGCCTTCCCCACTGCAGTCTCTGAACTCGGCCCTCCTTCATCGTCAGAAGAGAATCCCGCTCCTTTCTCTGCCTCAGGTGCTGACGGTTCGCTCTGGAAAAAACAGGCATGAAAATTGAAAACTTGTTCTAGAAATCCCTCATGACTACCCCTTTCTGAAAGGGCTTGTCGTCCGTCACGGCGACACCGAATGACATTACAAAAGTTGGCTGCTCTGGTTTGGGCTTCTCACCCAAAGCGGTGTTTCTACTCCTGGATGTCAAGCGTTCTTTCAACACAAGCGAAATATTTTTGGCTGCGGAAGAATAAAAATAAACCTGCTTTAGAAAGATCATGCTTTTCACCTTTCTCAACGGGGAAAGGGTTAAAAACTAAACCATCTGACTGCGTAACAAAAAGCAGCCCCCTCTCATCCTGTTAGCTGCTTGCTTGGCTTGGAGGGATAAATCTAGGAAGGGGGTATGTCAAAACAGAAATAATACCAACAAAATGATGCTTTGGGAAACACTAATCTCTTGTTAAACAACAATGAATCTTTCATGGACGTGACCCCGTGGAATTTCTGGTGTGGTTTTGTTACTAGTGACTAGTCACACGCTAACAACAGGGAAGAAAAAGATTTCTGAGCAACTGCATTCTGGGAGTTCTACGCTCTGCAGCTGGAAACATAACCCATTGGAAAGACTGGGAAAAAATCTCTTGGTAGAGAAATATCATCCTGAAAAAGAAATCACTAATAGAAATGCAGAATACCTTGACAGAGTAGCGTTGCTTCAGTCTCTCTCTGATGAGAAGTCCTTTTGTCAGCAGCTTCCAATTCCCCAGAGCTCTTTTCTCACGCTTCTGCGAGGGATTGTTAGTGGAAAGAGACCAATGTACTATTGTAAGTTTCAACGTAGTTACGCTCACAGAAAATGGAAGTTTGAAGAGTTTAAACTGCCATTAAAAAACCCCACGCCAACTTAAATGTGTCACATTGGGCCAGTAGGATTCTTAACAGTAAAATGTATTGGTGTCCAGTTATCTGCTAAATCCATGAATTATTGTCACCTCCTAATCTGCACCCTGACCGTGGAAATTACACCAGAGCCACCTCCCAAACTGTAACCTCATACCTGTATTCCTTGTTTTTGCTTCCCAGCAGCCATGGGAAACTATTCCAGAGCAGGCACTATTTCAGATGTTGTACGGCATCCCACGGCGGTCCGGACAGCAAGCCCAAAAGGGGGCATTTGGGAGATGCGGCTAGCCGCTCACCGTCACAGAGCCCACCCTTGGCGGACTGTCCCCAGTTCGAATGAACTTTCCTTAATACATGGAACAGTAAGGAAGCTGCAAAAATAATTCTCACCTCCTTCTCCTTCTTTTCTACTTCTGCTTGTTCGTTCTCCCAGGCGGCAATGAGGACCTCTTTATACTCCTCACAGACGACGTAGCCGTCAGTACTAGGAAGGAGAACACAATCCTCTGTCAGCTACTAGAAGAAAAAAGAAAGGGAGCAAATGCCTGCTGACCCAGCCAAACCGAAAGCAAGCTCCTACAGGACCATGTCCGTCTCACAGGGCCTAGGTGTGTAACTCATCACCTATCCTCCCCGCACAAGGGCCGACGCTTAAAGCGTATAAAGTCGCTTCCGTATGCCAGAGCCACAGACTCTGCTGCCGCTACTAGCGCAGAAGAGGAGGGCGTGTACTCCTCAACGCCGGGCATGCAGCTTCGGCAGGAGATCAAAATCTATCAATCAGCTGCGACGGAGCAGCTTTACATACACTGGGTGCGAGTAGCCGCCGTGAAAATCAAATCCAGTGATGGCTTGAGCACAGTCGATGTCCAGCTTCCGCGCCAATCGGTTCAGGTTTGGGAGTCTCAGCTGCACACAGCCAACGGGTAACATGGATGGCAGGAAGAGATAGACATTTCCATATTCATTCCGAGGAACCTGTTATTGCAAAATTAAAGACAAACGGTGACACTCCTGCTCTCTGGAGAGAGGTGGAAATCCTTGCTGCATCTCAGGGGCTCTCCCTTCCTTCTGACCTGCTACATTCCACTCTAGTATTTGATTAACATTCCCATGTCAAGGCAACAGCCTCGATTGTAGCTGCATGGTTCCCTCCTAGGTATGTTCTCTGCCCAGGCCTTGTTACTCGGGCTGTAACGCAGAGAATTAGCAAAGCAAACTCGGGGCAGGCAAATTAGATCAACAAAATCATAGAGTTAGCAGTCTGCACTGCTAGCACTCATCACTTGTATTCAGGAAAGAAAGGCCTCAGTGAAGTTTTGACCATTTCCTCCTGGATCCAGTTACCTCAGGAGTCTTAATCCTGAATCCAGATGTTATTGACTGATCTCATCTCTGAAACATGCAACTTCTGGAAAAATAAAGCCCACAGCTCCATACACCACTTCCTTTAACACCAGCCCTCTGCCTTCCGAGCTACCTTTCCGTCCACTGCTATAGGCGGCTGATACTCCTCTGTCTGCCAGCGACCAAAGAGTGCCAGGTCCTCTCTGTCCCGGTTTGCAGGCTCTGCAAGGCGCGCCTTCCTCGCCTGGTTGGAAAATCCTTTCACCATCTGTGCAAATACAGTGACCAAGCCTGTGGCACCACAACAAGAAGCTGCCACTGATTTCAGACTTTCCTAGGACATCGAAGGAGAAGGCTCTGGGAGAGAAGAAATCTCTGTTTCCTAGCTCCAGTATCCATTGCCTATAAATGATAACCCACGGCACCCATATGCAACAGGGAGCCAGAGCCTGCCGTTCGTATAAAACGCTAGGATGCCTTTCAAGAAGATGAAAAGGGTGCAGTTGTGCCAGATACCCTTGGGGCGGGAAGAGGAGACAGCCGGGCTTTGGGCAGTATATAGGAACTATAGGCACAGTAGGTGGACAGAGCCACAATGCAGCTACCGCAAACCACGCAAGCAAGTGAGAAATCTACATCTGCTGACAGAGAGAAGGCAAAAACCAAACGGGAGTTGAGCTTCAACTTCAGAGGGCAGACGTGCTGCACAGGAGGGAGTCAAACCCTCTTACCTTGTAAGGCACTTCTCCAATCCTCACCACTCGAGCTTGCTTCAGCCAAGTGTCCTTGGAGTGCAGCGTGTGTACACAGTCTCTAAAAAGGCCAGAAGGAAGCACCGTAAGAGTTTTGAAGTCTCTCCATAAGAGACTTCCAAACTGTTATTCACATGTTAGGAACTGTAAAAAAGCTGTACCTAAGTGATACACAAATGCTGCCTGAGCAGCTAAATGCCTCACCCCGTCTATGCATGTGGCCTGAGACTACTGCTAACAACATCGTGGTCTTCACACAAATTAGCTCTTAAATTCATCACAAAGATCGCAGTCGCACATGACAACACGTGCACCACTCACCTGGAGTAGACAGCCTCTCCCCTGCAGTACCCTAGGACAGCGGCTGACTCGGGATAGATCGCCTGATATTTCAAGAGGTGCCTCTTCAGCGCATAAAGAGGGTGGTTTTTGTACTCTCCGATTGCTGTTGGGAGAGGCTGATCTTGAAGCTTAACTTGAAACTGTGGGAATTATACAAAGAAGAGTGATTTCACAACTCTCTTGCACTACCCTTTGTAATAAAATGGATCAAAGCATGGATCAAAGGAAAAAACACCAGAAACTTAATCAGACGAGCCAACAGACCAAAGCATTCTTGCTGCAAACAGGTACTTAGATGTGTACCCAGATCTACGTATTTTAAAGACTCTCTTGAGAAGGGCAATGCGAAACTGTACAGAAAGCACATTAGTAAGTCTCCAGCTTGGGCTGTCCAGTACTTTCGCTACCCAGATTTCTCTGAACAGCCTCCGTTTGATATTATTTTGATCTATCATTGTATATTCCCTTTAAAACATGCTCAATCTGAACATTTCAAGCTCAAATCCAAAATTCCTTCCTCACGGAAAGATTCCTAATGATTTTTGCCTGAATGAGAATCCAAGGACTGGACTCCTGGCACTAAATGTCTGGAATAACCTATTGCCGTTTACCTCATTTTCCTCCTTCTTGTCTCTTTCCACATAGGGACTTCTATACGGCTGCAGCGTGTCCTCCCACCACTCGGGGTCCACACGACTCTTCCTTGTTGCCGTCATCCACACTGGGTCATATCTTTGCGTCACATCCCTGACACTCCCATCATTGTCAAATCCCACGATATAGAAAAGCGGCTTTGTGGCATATGTGAAGCACAGCTGGGGCTGGCCAACGTTGCCATGAACACAGTCTACACACACCCACTTCTCCTCACGTTCAAGGAAAACCTCCAGCCACTGGTCTGTGCCCATCGCTTTCCTTACCTCCTGCTGGCCATCTTCCTCATCACTAGAAATTATTTTGTTTCTCTTTCTCTGTGCATGAGGCAAGGCTGGAGCTGTACTTTTTGCTGGCCTCGGCTCAGCGCCATATGAATTTTTGGATAGCCTTGATTCTGAAGTCTCAAGTTTGGGGCTTTTTATAGCTGTTACCTTTGGCTTCTGGGAACCCAGTGAGCTCCTCCGCCTTTTAGAGACAGTTTCAAAATCCTCATCAGAGACATCGCTCTCCTCCTCTGAAACCTCAAAGTCCGAAACACTGCCCTCATCACTTCCACTCTCTTCTTTGTAACACACTTTGGAGGCCACTCGTCTTCGGCGATCATTCTTGGGCCTGGCTGGCACATCTTTTTCTGCTAAACTGCTCTCTTCATTACTAGATTCCTTCTGTTCCTGGCTGCCTGTAGTCAACTTTGACTTGTGTGTCCTTTTGGTCTGAGCAGTTTTGCGTTTCTTTGGCTCCTTGGTGTCTTCTTCGCTCTCTGAGGACTTTTCATCCTGTCTGGCTTTTCTGCAGGGGCATTTTTTTGCCACAGCTTTGGGTGTTGTGGCGGAGCTCTCCTGCCCCTCAGAGGTACCACTGACAGACTGCCTCGTGGATGAGCTTTTTCCCTGCAAAGAGAGAGGCTATGTCACTTTTATTACCAACGCTAAGAATATGTTAAAAAAAAAGACTGAAATTGGCACGAGGTGCGTGCAGACCAAAGGCTGGCCACCATGGTAAATCTGCATGTCTTAGGGACTTGAAAACTTCAGGCAAATGCCTGAAGGGAGGCGTACTCAAGCAGCAACTGTTCGCTGTCTAAGTTTTAAAGAAATTTAAAACCACAGAAGCATAAGAAGTCTTTGCTGAAACACACAAAATGGGTGGTTTCTTTAAAGGAGAAACCTAAAAATTAAGGGTTTGCATCTGCTGCACTATAGACAGAACATTGTCATCCTCCTGGGTCATGCAGTAAGCGATTCACTTCAAGCTGCGCCTGCCAGAAAGTTTTTTCGATCCTACTCCCTAAACCAGTGACCTATTCCTTATTCCACACACCCAACAAAATCTACCTTTGCTCTTGTCTCCTTGAGAGGAATAGGCTGAAAAGACAGCACGAGGCGACACAGCAGCTGCAATGCTCGCAGAATAATTAAAAATATCTGCAAAAGAAAAAATAAAGCATGTTTAACCTTTTTTAAAGGTATCCAAAAAAACCACTTGAAACTTTTTTACAATCTGTGTCACAAATCATTTTCATTCCTACCTTTTTCCCAGTGCTGTGTACACTGACACAGATGCGTAGGCAGCCCAGGTGCTACAGTATTAAAGCACCGCACAGCCTTCTCTGGCTCTTATTTCTGTTACTGCTGTTAACTCACAGATGAGGAACCAGTTCCTAAAGAGGCTAAGTGAACCATCCTGCCGGAGCAGACACAGTCGTTCACCCGCATCCCATCTACCCTATCAGTCTCTCACTCTTGAGGAAAACCGAGTAAGATGACTCTAACTCCTGCCTCCCAGAGGTGGTCACAGCCAACCACATGCCACCAGCTGACCCCAGCACAACCACCAGCCATGCAGAGAATGTCATTCCCGTCGCACCTGGCAACTGCCTTCCTGCACGGGACTCGGCTGAAGCTGCCTAAGCAAGGCTTGCTTTGTGTCGTCCTCCTGTCCCAGGAAGTGACATCTCTGCGTTTCCACAGCAAGGCTGCAAAGCCACCACAACTGCTTCCTGCTACGCAGCAGAGAAGCTGCATCATCCCACTTTATCAGCAACAGGGCAGAGCTGCAAGCCATGCACCTGCAAAGCAGAAGCTCCCTTCTGTTCTTTCAAATGTCCTCCGTCAATTTGATCTCCTATGTTTCCCTCCGCCCCTCGGCTGTTTTACCAAAATCTCCGCGTGACTTGAAGCAACTGACTCCACTTCTTCCCTTAATCCAATTCCACCACAAAATGACTGTAGAGTTGAAGTCCTTTTGAAGCCTTAGCCTCAGGCTGCCCTAAATCAAAGCTCAATTCCTTTGGCCTTCAATGGTGACTCATAGTAACAAACTACCAACCTTCTAACTCAAAGATCTGTAAAGAGTTTCTGTGGCTGCAAGTGAGCCGAAGAATTTCCTCACTCAAATTAGTATTTCAGAAGAAATTTAATATTTCTTAATATTAAGCTGGTTTTCTTTGATCTACACTTTGATATACAGCAATATAAAGAAGCCAAAGCGTACTTAGGAACAAGTAGCTCTATACACTATACATAAAACCATTCACCGCAGAACACGGAGCACGCAGTGACACCAACCAGAACTAGAGGCTCCAGTTAGGCACAGTTCAAATTGAATAATTTAATCACAGAAGGACTCCAGATAAAAATACAACAACGACAAAAAAAGCCACGGCATCACCTAAGTCAGCAATTTGTTTTCTTCAAATCCATCCCTCAAAGACCACTCTGTGTGTGCCCTGACAGCACCACAGCACTGATCTAGCACGCAAACTCAGCAACCAGCCCTGCACCTCCCAGTCACTTACATGAACCAACTCTTCATCATCTCGTGCAGCGTAGATAGCAAAGTGCCTCTCCAAGGTCGACTGAAGGGGCTCTCCTTTTTCAGTGGAAAGCTCATCATTGACAGTGAAGGTTCCAACAAACCTGAAATATGAGACACCTACGTACTGTCTAGTGTTTGTGACTGTATTCTTAAACTTCATAGTTCATCCTTGCCTTCTGTAAAAAGGACAGACTCTCACCCTTGTATTTAAAATCAGAAAAATCACTGAAAATTGGTAATTACATTTACCCCCTCCCTGAACCCTGGCTCTACGTTCTGTGTGACAGCATGATTAGGAGAGAGAGTTTTACCATTTCACCAAGTTGGAAAGGTAGAGAAGGTCCACGCGGCCTGCAGGCACTTTTGTGAAGTGGGTGGGGATGATGGACAGACCAATGGCATGAAGATCTGGCTGGCTGCAGATCCTGTTCCTATAGAAACCATTTGCTAATAAACACAACAGGTGAACCTGAGAAAAAGAAGTTTTTATAGTGAGCTCACGAGAGATTTTCTTTGCTGGAGCTACTGTCCATGGTATAGACCAGGAAGGCTTTACTGCTGCTTTTAGCAGAGACAGGCACCAATGGAGCCTCCCAGGCAGGGTGACACAGGGCTGTCTTCAGATCACCATCAGAAGACAGCAAAGCCTTCAGGCCCCTTCGGTGTCTCCTGCCCTACATGACTGACAGTTTAACCCCGACAGAACGAGCAGATACACACTCAGTGGAGAAATATACACCCTAGTCACATCTGCTTCGATTTAGAATTTTACTAATGCGGTCACTGATGTTTCTAAATTACAGTTTAGGAGAAGTCTAATGAGCATTTGTCAGGACTACAGCCTTTTTATTTTTTCGCTTCTAGCCATGGCCCCAAATAATTTGATCAAAATCAGTTTTTTCTTCATTATGAATCAGTTCACACATCTTTATGTGCCATTTTTTCTCTGCCAGGTTTCTCTGTGACCAATACCTTATGTGTGTCCTCACGAACCTCCTTGCAGAAACGTTTCATCATTCTCCGAAGATACAGCTCAAATTCGGCTTTCCTTTTTTCTCTGCATAAGATTACAAAAGAAATGGCTGTTGTGGGTTTTCTGCGGACCTGCCTTTCTACATGCCCGAATTGGATCAGTTCACAAAGAGAATCCATCCCAGAGAAACTTCTGTGCACACTTAACCAAAGTTTAGTTACTGGCTATGTGAACAGGCAAACAGGCTGCATATGACTAATAAACTGTGAACTCCACATACCCGACTACGGAGAGCTTGGATATATTCAGATGGCCTAAATTCCACCTAACTTTATGTGCCTACAGTTCCCTAGCAGACAGCTTTGGACAGCTCCATACTAAACTTGTAATTCACTGTCTGAATCGTTTGATGTTTAGGTTACTGCTGACATTCCATTCAGATTCCTGGAAAAAATGGTTTTCTCTTCATTGATGAAGTCTTTTAACTTAGAGGCAACAGATATTCTGGTTGCTTTGTTATGAAGGGCTGGCCTGGGACAGTGCCCGCCCTGTAGCAGCATGAGATATCATGAAGCCTCCAGCCGCCACACAAAGCAAGCCTTCCTTGGGATAACGCTCCCAGCTGCCAAGGACACTCATTTGACCCACCTATCCACAGCTCAGGTACGGGCACACAGAGGCTCCCGCCTGGGCTGTTAAGATACTTACAGTACAACAATGCCATTCACCCACAGCTCTCCTCGAAGAGAGCTACTACTGTCCCTGGTTTGGAAATGTAGATATTAAAGCACAATGAAGTCACACGCTCGATTTTCAAGAAAGCTGAAAAACCTCCATTCCCACCAACTTCCACTGAAGATTTTTGGTAAAATTGTCAGTGTGTAAACTCTTTTCCATCCCAGGACCTCACATCACTCCAACTCAACAGGCTGCACAAAGTGGGGATTTCCACCCAGAGCAGAGCAAGTCAGTGACAGTCAAGACTTAGCATATTTTTAACTTCATCCTTTAATGACCCTCCAACTGCCTTCCCTGTTCTTACCTCCTCTCTCTTTTCTTCACCTGCTCTGGGGTTTCAATCTCTATCTCGACAGGATTGCTTGGCAGCACCGCTGCTGGAAGAACAGCCGCTTCTTCTAACTTATCTGTGGCGGGTTCCTGGAGTTCTGGAAAAATAAAATATTACTAAATGATAAGTAAACATGGAATGGATGCCCCAGGGAGGTCTGACAATGGGATAAGAACCTACCTATTCCTTCTCAAGTGTTCAAATAACCTACAAACAGAACATCCCCAGTAATTACCAGCTCCTGGATCTTCCATAACACTGTGTGTGCTCAGTTATTTCAAATAACTGTGGGATGCCAGTCACCTGCAGCTGAGGCATCAGCTCAGCACGGTCTATGGCAAGTGACTGCCACAGGCAAGCTCAATCAGGAGAAAGGTGAATGAAGCAGATGTGACTTGAAGGGTGCTTGTAGAGTAGCAAAAAAACCCCTGACAACTGTTCACTTTAGAAGGCATAAATCTGTAGCAGCAAAATACAAAGATTATGATCATCATGATTCTTAGCACAGTTTGTTGATGGCCACCTAATCGAACAGCTCAGTTGGTTTCACCTCCACTCTCCTTTACTAGGAAGTCGCAGTTTTTAATCTTCAAACCAACTCATTCTTTGGGGCCTACTCAACATTAGACAACACAAACAGCTGAGAAAGTGCTTTGTGCATAGCAGCATAATTTTAACATAAGCCAACAAATAACAGTCAAATTCAAGGCACTACCACCAGGTCAGTGGTTGTCTGGTTTTTTTCTACTTTGGAACCGTTCTAAAAGCATTGTGAGATACGAACGTTTAAAGACACAGATATGCACATGGAGCATACTTCAGGTACACAGAGCATATACATTTACCTGAATCCAAATGAGAAATGGTTCAAAAATCAAATTACAAAAAAAAAAATGTTTATAAGAATATTTACTCCTTAAAACGAATAAACATGCAATTGGTACCTTCCACGTCCTCCCATTCATCTTCACTTTCATCATCATCATCATCCATATTGTCTTCACCCATCTCTTTTTTAACAGGAGATTCTCTCTTCAACTTTATCTCCTTCTGAGGGGTCTTCAGCGAGTCACTGTTACAATTATCACAATGGCTTTAGCATCAGGAAGTGTAGGTGCTTGTTTATTTAAGAAAAATAGAGGAAGAACACACTAAAAACAGAAAAATAAATGAAGCGTGACCTCTGCATCAGTACCAACACATTGAGTATTTGACAATTAAACCACAGATACCTTCTCTATAAAGCAAACCGTCTTTGCCATAAATAACCATGGGCTCAATGGAGCAACACTTTTTCAGTGCAAACTTAGGTCCTGGTTCTGCAAGGACGTTTAGGAAGGAAGATGCCTGAACCTACAAAAGGCCCCATCCTTTAGAACAGCTTGTACAAATCAGTCCTTGGAGAAATAGTTTACTGAATCATTTGTTCTTACTGAACCTTCAAAGTCTACTGAATTTAGAACTGTTTCTCTTTCACTACACTAATACCCAAGGCTCTGGCTGGCTACTGAAATGAGATCAATCAGTGTAATTTCTTTTTATTAATTTATTTGCTATAGCAATCGCCACGGGCAGACCATGCTGATATTACATTCAGATTCCAAAAACCACCAGAGAATGATACGTTTAAAGATTTCTGCTCATCATTTTAAACCCAAATCTCTGGCCGACTTTTCTATTCATGCTGGACTCCATAAAGCCTCCTTAGTCCCACGTAAAAACTATAACAAATGAAATAAAATTTTATATTTAAACCACTGAATTTGAAAAGGCTCACATATTTGTTTCCCATACAGACTATCTTCCCCAGGACTGACTCTGCAATGAATAAGACGGTACTTCTGTCCAGCTGTGTGACATAAATGTACTGAATTGGACTGACAGCCTAAAGTAAACTGCTCACATGCACATATGCAGCACTGGGCCCTAAACAAATACCATGTAACCATGAACAGAGAGCTCCTACAGACTCAAATGATAATAAGTAAACCTACCTGCAAGTTTCCTCTTTGTCATGATTTCCTTTATTTCTAGTATTTTTTTCTTTTATTAGTGATTTTGCCCCTTTTTGTTTTGAAGGCTTATTTGCTGAGTTGGAAACTCCAGCATCACAGTCTTCTTCCTTCCTCCTAGCCAGAGCTTTTGAGTCGTTCTTCTTTATTCTGGGCTTTTTCTCTTCAAAATCATCTGCACGGGACAGAAGAAAGGAAGATACGTTAAAGGATGAAGTCTTATCTCCATGGCAATCAGAAACTATACCTCCACGGACTTCATTACAGCCAGCTACAGAAGAAAGTGGGCACTCACAATGACGAGCATGTCATTGTTTCTGAATAAATAGGCTAAGAATCGAACGATGAGGCCTGTTTAAGGAAAATACTCGTAATAACGTAACGCGCAAGAAGTACATAAAGATTCCCATAGTCCTACCAACGGGGTCAGTTCAAAAATAAGTGTTGTACTTGCCAGTCACAAGAAATTATTACTTTGTGAAGCTGCTCTGGCGAACTTTTCCAGTCCCGCCTGTCACGGCCGCGGCCGCAGCCGGGGGTGTCGGCAGCCCCGCACGGCCGAGCTGAGCCAGACCCCCACCGGGTCGCTCAGGGCCTGATTTTCAGCCTTTCCCAGTGCTTCCAGACAGCGTGTGGGCCCCGCCGGACCTGTCACGGACGGATTTAAACCCCCGATTTCTGCCTGCATCGCCCCGCCCGCTGGCACTGTGGAGAGCAGCTCCCCACGCGCCCCGCCCGAGGTAACGGCCCCTTCCCTCCCGGGGGCGGCCGAGGTCGCGAAGGGCGAGCTGACCCCG